CATACTATAAAGTCTTAAAACAATACTGTGCACAACACTGAACACCATAAAAAGGGGGTGAGCTAACTCCTGGGCCATTGGTTTTTACACTAGAATTTCTGTAGCCCACTGCAGTGTTTTATATTTGCAAAGTAGTGCACATCTAGTTCATGTATGACTGATCTATGCCAAGTAGTTCTACATACACACTTGTTTAGCAATGTAAAAAAATGTCTTCCTAGAATAGATCAAGGTCTATCTAGTCCAGCTTTCTTTGCAAGACTTCAAGCAACCAAATAGGCATTAGGTGGTCCACTGGAAACCAGCCAAAGGTTTTGTTCACCCTTGCTTTATTTAGATAGGCATGCTATCTTTTAAGCCAGGAAAGCATCTATGGTCCCCCTTTGTATGTTACCCAGAGCTGTGTAACATCTCAGTGTTACTTCAAGGTTATGCACAATAATATCTAAAATTTCCACACTTGCTAAAAGAATGGACAATCCTATAATGGCACCTACAAAATCTATTTTTCCCAAGTGGAACTTTTAGAAGTTATAAGGAGTAGCATGGGAGAAAACCATGAGATGACATCAACTATGATGCTTTGGACACATACAGAGGAGGATTCAATTCTTCTTTAGCACAAACATCTATAAATGGTAAACAATGAATTCCATGAGAACTAATTCTTTCATAGTCCTTTAGCCTAAAAACTCTACAAGATATATAGTATACAAGAATCATAATTCCCATAAAGAGCATGTAAGCATATTCAGATGTAACTCTTAATTTAATTCTTATCCCTTTCTAAGATACCAGCAATATTCTTTTAATCCAAACCATCTCTGATGCTCTGCAGGATTATATGGAGTCTTGAGACATTATAATGTCTGGAAAAAATTTACAGGAATATTCAAGATATGTGGCTTTAAATGTAAGATGATTTAATAGTAGATAGGGTGAATCTAAACGAGATAGCACTTGATTAACATTTTATCCATGCGCTTCTGCTTTGCCATTGTCACTTGCTACCACCACCCACAATCTCTTGATTTCATCTTGGGTGGCACCTTCCCTTACCAGAAAGCAACTAGACTTGTTCAGGGACACTCTCTTATCACAGCACTATTACAGATGGTTAGAACTGTACTAATATAAGTCATTACAGTGCAATCCTATGCTGATTTACTTCAGTCTAAACCCATCAATTACAACTGGCTTAGAGCTGAGTAACTCTGTAGAGGACCATACTCCTAGAGATATCCGAGATCCTACAGCCTGGAATGGGATCAACGCTCCCTCTAAGCTGTGGAGTCTTGTAAGCAAAAATTCTACTTTATGAGCTACTGGCATTAAAGTTGTGAGTGAGCAATTTGACTGCTGCATAAATTAGTTTGCTCTGGAGCCATCCTTCCTGAGCTAAGGCAAAAATGTGTGAGCCGGAGGCTAAAAAACTGTGAGCTCACACTAACCCATCTTAGAGGGAACACTGAATGGGATGGGGCTAATTTGAAGCATAAAGATGGCAAGCTATCTTGATACGGTAGAAAGGGCTTGGGGAGGGGGGAGGCTATACCAGGAATGCTAAAGATGCTTTGTATCATGTGTTATAGCACCACTGTAACATTGCTACCACCACTTCCCTGCCCTCAGGAGACGTGGTATAGTGGGACCAGAATTGCTGTTTTCTAAACCCTTTGCATATTGTTCAATTCAAGTAGACCAAAAAGAACAGAATGAACAAAGGCAGCCAGTCCTCTCAATTCTCTTGCGATATTGGTTTCAACAGATAAATTTTACCTTGAGCAATAAAAATAAGCAACACATAAGTAAACATTAATATCTTATTTATTGTGCAAGCCGAACAAAAGTGCATCAAAATTTGAGCATGTTTTTGGTATTTAGATGTTCCAAAGTGAAAACTGGACTTTATGGTGTGTTTCAGGCAACAGCACTTTCTTCTTTTAGTAATGTCAATGACATATTTTCCATAAGGAAAGCTAAAATTATTAAGCACATGCTTCTGTAATGCAATCTGCGTGTGAACTTCTCTAGCACTTCAAGAGAACTCTAAAGTCATGTAAACCACTTTAAGAAGTAACATTAAAAATAATTAGCAACCCTTAACACCATATTGTGCAACTTTGTAATATAAAACAGCAGATAGAGTTTGTATCTTATCACTATATTATGTCAGCAATAATGGACACTGATTTTTCTGGTATCTTACTATACAGAATTCTAGAAGTATGAAAAAATATACAGACACCCTGGATACATAGGTAAGTAGATACCACATTTGTTTCAAACCACCACCCAGCCATTCCCAAAACACATACCAAACACTAGTGCAACCTTAGTGTACAATTACATGTGTAAACAAAGTACACAGTGATTTGCAATAAAATTAGCTAATTTACATGCGCTGTCTTTGCACAGTTGTATAGGCTTTCTTACATTAACATGTCAGATAAACAACATCATAACAGAATTCAGAAGAAAGTAATTATTTCAGGTATCTTGCAGCTTTCCTCCCAAACATATCAATTAGATAAACAGAAAAAGACATCAATCCCTTGCATTAAAGTTTTTGCACAAAAACTTCAAAAAGCTGCCCGGGGCTCCTGGCTTTGGCACCAAAGCTACGTGTGGCTTAAGCCTTATTATGCAAGGGGTGTGTGTGTTAGGTCACCAGAACAATGTTCAACCACTCACATTGGGATGTATTTTTGATTTCAAGTCACATCGAGCTAGAAGGAAGGTATCTTTATTGTTTCCTGCCTTGACCACTGCCCACAAGGTTATACGCTTTGGCAGCTCCCTCCTCACTAGCCACTCCCCCAGCAATATTTTGACATTGTAATATTGTTTCCAGAAATCTGTGGGGCTTTGATATACAAGCTGAACGTCATCCAAATAGAAACTGCCATACTAATAGGGAATGACTGGCATATGAACACACCGTTTCCCTACTCATGTAGCATGGAATTTCATCCACCCAATCTCATGAATGAAGCACAGTCACTGAATCACAACAGATGACAGGCTTTCAGAACATTAAAAACTCAATTTACACAATGCTCCAAAATGGCTAACAAAACCCTTGGCTAAATGTGCACAGAGATTTTTGACACACTGAATTTCCCAAGCCACAGAAGAATACAAAAATATTGCACTTAGAGAAGCAGACACCTGTATTAGGGGATGAAACAGCAGCATGCACTATAACATCACATCAAATACAGTGTGACATGCAGATGGCCAACTTTCTGTTATTTTATAAAACCAACACACTGCACCAGACACATATAGACGATGATACAAATGTAGGCAAATATATATCAACACTCCCCATATTGGGGGGGGGAGCAACAGAAGAGATATAAATGTGCTAGAGATGAAGACCAACATCTAACAGACCAGAATTGTGTCATTACCGCCATTCCCATTGACTTCAAATCCACCAAGTTTGGCTATTTAAATATTTTTCAAAAAGAATATGAGCACAAGAATGTAGGATTTAGCCAGATTTTACTCAACAGTTTATTAGACAAAGCTTGGCAACTGCTCTCTCCAACACAGAACCTCATGTTTCTATTTTGTGCTTGGAAGTTATGCTACTCATTAAATCCTGTAGTATGCCTGATGATCTAACATAATCAGCATAAATCTGCAACTGAATAGCCTTACTTGGCACTGGGACACAGTGTAATTTGTGACCCAGTCTAAAAATAGCATTCTGCAGAGTCAGGTCCAGTTTTGCCTGTTGTAAGAATACACCTGCATTTTCCATGTCGGTTTACATGCTTAGATGTTATCATAGGTTTCTGGTGACTTTCCGAGTATGTGTATAGGCCGTGCAGACACTACTGTTCATGTTGTCAAGCACACCAGAAAATATCTTCAAAACCACACCTGAAATTTGTTTTACAGTTCACAATTAGGGAGTGGACAAATGTGCCCAACCATCCATGCAAAGCCATCCATGCAAAGCAAACTGAAGAAAAAGTGTTAAATGCAGTGCAATTTCTTAAGAGCCATTTAAAAAAAAAAGCTCTCTTGTTTAAATATAAACCACAACCTTACTTGGTGGTTTAGAAACTACCACAGATTGATTGTATTAGAAATACCCCAACAACATTCTGCTCTCACTATAAACAAAATGGAGCCTTTGATATGTACCTAAACTGAAGTGACTAGACTCATTATAGCACTAGTGCCCCTTTCTCCTTTAGGCTGTAGTGTACATCGCATTAAATGGCAGGGAACGGCAGAATGTGCCTCAAACAGCAACTCTGCATGTCTGTCTCTATGGCCTTTGAACAGCCTTGCAGAGTCCTAGCAATACAGATCACAAACAAAGCATCTTTAAAATGCCATGAGAACATCCCGTTCCTGCACGCTAGTGTAGAAAGGTCGGCCAAAGAGAAAGGAATGTAAGCCAGGCTTGATCTTCTCAGCTAATGCCATTATTATGTTAAGATCGCCCTCTGCTGTCAAGTCCAGGTCTATCTTCAAACTTCGGAGAGACTTGAAAGGCTTTTTACCTTTTTGCCTGGGGCAGGGGTAGGAAAAGGCTGTGGTTAAAACACAATGCTTTAATTTGAAACAGGTCTAAAAGTACTTGTCCCATTTCCCCCACTAGCTTTATACTTACGTGTCATCTTCTATGTATTTAATGAGCGTTAAGGCTTTTCTGTGAAGAACTAATAGGAACTGAGCAAGGAACACGCTTCTCAGGGACAGCCCGGGTTTTAAATGAAAGACCTGTTCAAATGGGCAAGAAAAGATTCAGTGTTCGTTCCTGAATTTCCCACTTGCCCCCACTATCATCTGCAGACCTCTTTTTAGTTATATACTATCAAAAAGCCATCATTAGATGGGCTGGTGTGGCCAGCCTGCAGTGGAGACCATGGGGTGTGTGCTCTTAGTCATGGCATGCTCCTTCCCAGGAGCTCTCTCCACACACACCGTTCCAGCCGGCTACTCGGAAGCATGCACGGCTGGCTGGTTCTGTCCCTGTTGCCACCCGCATCCCCCAAAAGGCAGCAGCAAGACATTAAGTTAATTAGCTCCATAGCAACCTCTTCTGAATCCACTAGTTTCATAAACAGTGGTTTGGGAGCCACGCGTGCCTCTCTGACAAGCTACTTGTGGCTCTCCCGAATACCAATCACAAAAGTGGCACCTACCCTATGCTACAGGGAAGTGGACAAGGTCCTAAATTGGGGGCCTTGTGGTTGGCAAGTGGGTCCCACCTTGAAACTGCCACAAGCCTCATGCTAGAAACATGCTAGGCATGGAGAAGAATAAGAAAAGTTTGATGTATACCCCGCCCTTCACTCGGAGTCTGAGAGCAGCTTACAATTGCCTTCCACTATACAGTGTGTGTGTGTGTGTGTGTGCACGCACACACACACACACACACTATATATATATCTAGTTCCAGCTCCTGCCAACCTAGCAGTTCGAAAGCAAGAAATTGCAAGTAGATAAATAGGTACCACTTCGGTGGGAAGGTAACAGCATTCCATGCGCCTTGGTGTTTAGTCATGCCGGCCACATGACCACGGAAACGTCTGCGGACAGCGCTGGCTCTTCGGCTTTGAAACGGAGATGAGCACAGCAACCCTAGAGTCGGATTCGACTGGCTTTCGAGCAAGGGAACCTTTACCTTTACTTATACAGAAGAAACTATTTCAAAACTACTACATATTGTTTTTCAGTTTTAGTTAACGGACATGACCAGTGATTACCTGATCCAGGAACGCTTTTACTAGAGTGTCTTGGTGCAGGACATCTTGAAAAACATTCCTGAAAAGAGAGAGGAAAAGCATAAAATGATTCACTATATCAGTTCTGGTATAGCACCAAGTTAAATTGGTGCTCGTAACGTAATTATAAATCTCTTGCAGCATTTAGATGTTGGATTGCATTGGAAAAATGAGGAGTGGACTTTCATTGCTCCTTGGTGAACTTAGCCCTGAGGTATGGCATCATCAGTGATAATGACCAAGTAACAAAAGACAGCACAATAGGCCCAGGACTATATAGATTCTGTGTTTAACTCTTGATGCATGCCATCATTATAACATAGATATACCAGAAAGTCTATTATGTTAGCTATGGAAGGTTTAACTCCATGGATGTAACATCGCTATTCCTTTGTAAACTCTATGGGAACACTATGAGAACTGAGCCAGCTGGGCTGGGAAACAGAACCCAGGAGAGAGCGGCTGGGAAGGTGAGTGTTTTTTGCCTTTCCTAAACCACTAAATTACTGAGGATCATTAACTGAGGTTGCTTAGTGAGAGGACAGAGCAGGAAACCAGCCAGAGAAAGCAGTGGGGCCTTTGGATGACAGAGGAATAAAGGGATTGCTAAAGGGAGATGGGGAGATGGCAGAGAAGCTCAATTATTTTTTTGCTTCTGTGTTCACTGTAGAAAAATGTGGGCCATGTGCCCATGCCACAGCCCCTATTTTCAGGAAGGGAGGCTGAAGAACTGAGCCAAATTGAGGTGACTAGAGATGAAATTCTACACCTACTGAGGAAATTAAAAAACAGTAAGTCTCCTGGTCCGGATGGCATACACCTGAGAGTTCCTAAGGACCCCAGATGTGAGATTGTTGATCTACTAACCCGTATATGTAAATTCACTAAATTCAGCTGCTGTACCAGAAGATTGGAGAGTAGCAAATTTGACACCATTTTTTTAAAAGGATCCAGAGGGGAACCAGGAAATTACAGGCCAGTTAGCCTAACATCTATCGCAGGCAAATAGGTAGAAACTCTAATCAAAAATAGAATTGTTAGGCACATAGAGGGACAAAGTTTGCTGAGGGAAAATCAGCATGGCTTCTGCAAAGGGAAGTCCTGCCTCACCTACATTTTGGATTTATTTGAGAAAGTCAACAAGCATGTAGACAGTGACCCAGTAGACATTGTATACACATTATATACCTGGACTTTCCAAAGGGTTTTGACAAGTTACCTCACCAAAGACTCCTGAGTAAACTTAGCAGTCATGGGATAAGAGGACAGGTTCTCTTATGGATTTAAAACTGGCTAAATGACAGGAAGTCAATGGACAGTTCTCACAATGGAGGGAAGTAAGCAGTGTGGTCCCACAAAGATCAGTATTGTGGCCTGTACTATTTAAACTATTCATCAGTGATCTTGAACTAGGGGTGAGTAGTGTGGTGGCCAAGTATGCAGATGACACAAAATTATTCAGGATGGTGCAAACCAAGGCTGATTGTGAAGAGCTCCAAGAGGACCTCCACAAACTGGGTAAGTGGGAGACAATGTGGCAAATGAAGTTCAGTGTTGGTAAGTATAAAGTGATGCACATTGGAACAAAAAATCCCAACTTCATGTATAGGCTAATTGGGTCTGAACTTGCTGAAACTGAGAGGGATAAAGATCTTGTGTTTGTAGTGATAACTTAATGAAAGCGTCTACCCAATGTGCCGCAGCAGTGAAGAAGGAAAACTCTGGCTGTGATAACACACACTAAATAATCCACTTTCAATCTGGATTATTGCCAGTTCACAACAGTAAAATCCAGTTTGAAAGTGCACTGAAAGTGGATTGAAAGTGGATTATTTAGTATGTGTGATCACAGCCTCTATGTTAGATATTTAGTAGGAAAGGGATTGAGAATAAAATGGCCAATATTATAATGGCCCTGTGTAGATCTATGGTGTGGCCTAATTTGGAACACTACGTACAATTCTGATCCCTGTATTGCAAAAAGGACATTGCAGAACAGGAAAATGGCAGAGGACAACCAAGATAATTAGGGGGGTTGGAGCAGCTTTCCTATAAGGAAAGGTTGAAGAGTCTGGGACTTTTCAGTTTAGAACTCGAGGGCTTCCAATGAAACTGATAGGCAGTAGTTCAGGATGGACAAAAGGAAATACTTTACACAGAGAGCGATTAAAATGTTGAATTCACTGCCAGAGGATATAGTAATGACCACAGGAATAAACAGCTTTAAAAGAGGATTAGACAGAGTCATGGAGAACGTCTATCAATGGCTGCTACCCATGGTGACTGAGGGGAACCTCCACATTCAGAGAGAGGCACGAATCCTCTGAATCCCAGAGCCAGAAGGCAACATCAGGGGAAGGCCTCAGCCTCTTTGCCCTGTTGTTGGTCCTCCAGAGGAACTGGTTAGGCACTGTGTGAGACAGGATCCCGGACTAGATGGACCATTGTTATGTTCATATGGAATACATACAGGTCAGGAGTGAAGCTTTCATCTGTATGGATAATGGTATCCTGAGCCATCTCCTCATCTGAAGTGGCTCTCCAAAATGCTGTTAGCTCAGATCGCATGTATCGCCGCTGATTATAGATATGTTCATGGCACGGAGGCATCTGCTTCACTGTGTTGACATCTACATCAATATGAGTGGTAGGATATGGAGCATACATCACTTGTCGGAAAGGTAGCACAAAACTTCCAGTCACATCCTGTCCCATTGGGGAAAAAATTAGTCTCCTAAGTTACTAAAAAGAGTTACAGGAATTAAGAACCATGAAATTTGTCATAATGTTCAAGTGAAATCAATAGACACGATAATTCAACTAAATAATGCCAAGCTGTTGCAGAGTGGGCTCACAGTATGGACAATCTTCAAAGTCCTGATTATTTAAAGGAGTTTCAATCCCACCTTTCCTTCAAATGTAAGCTTCCAAGGCAGCAAGCGGAGTTGGACAAGAGGCGCCTTCAGTCAAGCTGAAGAAAAAATTGTGTATTCTCACAAATCTTAGGCTCCCAAAGTCACTGATGGCAGGCTCACAAAATACTGACTGCAGGCTCTTGAGTAAAAACTGGCTCTTGGTTTACTGACATAATCAGAACTGACCTCCAAGTAAATAAATTTATAATTGGGTTTTTCATTTTAAAGCCATGATTGTCACACTCTGGGGTATGCCTTGTTATGAAAGCAGAAACAATTGTGAGAGCTCCTCTCAGTCCAGAATGCCGTGGGAATCTAAACTGAAGTTGCTTTCTCATCCATTCCTAACTCAGTCTGGGCAGCTGGTTAGCCACAACCCCATTCCAACCCTTCTTGGTAGCGAAACCACAATTAGCCCATTTGTCAGAAAAAAGAAACACCCTATTATAACCTGCATGCCAGTATGGTGTAGTGGTTAAGTGAGCGGACTCTAATCTGGGAGAACCGGGTTTGATTCTCCACTCCTCCACTTGCACCTGGCTGGATGACCTTGGGCAAGCCGTAGTTCTGATAAGAGCTGTTCTTGAAAAAGAGCAGTTTCTGTCAGAGCTCTCTCAGCCCCACCTACCGCACAGGGTGTCTGTTGTGGGGAACGGAAGGGAAAGGAGTTTATAAGCCGCTCTGAGACTCCTTTGGGTTGTGAAGGGCAGGGTATAAATCCAATCTCCTCCTCTTCTTCCATTCCAAAGTTGTGCGGCAATAATGGTTTATAACATTAGCCATGGCTCAGTGGTAGAGCAGAGGGGGCTATGGCTCAGTGGTAGAGCACCTGTTTTGTGTGTAGAAGGTCTGAGGTTATATCCCTGACATTTCCAGTTAGAGGGATCAGATAGTAGGTGATGTGAAAGCCCTCCAACCTGAGACCCTGAAGAAGCACGGCCAGTCAGAACAGATCATGCTAACCTTGATAAATCAATGCCCTTATTCAGTATAAGGCAGCTTCATGCATCCAGCGCAGACTGGTCAAGATCAAACTTGATTTACCCATGTGCTACCCATTCCCGCATATCATAAATCTGATGTTTTGTCAGACAGGAGCAGACTATTATTCATTAAATCTGGTATGATGACAAATATTATGACATTCTTTAGTATAGGAATATATGCTATGTAAGCTGTTCCTAATATGAGGAAGGAAAACATACACATTTTTCTTTCTTCCTGGCTGCAGGAGAGGAACAAAGAGGAAATTACACTGTCTGAATACAGGGGCAACAGAAGCAAATGCTTTCTGCACAGTAGGCACAGCGGTAGTTAGGTTAGCAATGTATCCAGCACAATTAAAAATGCATAGTTAAGCCATCTTCAGCCTCTCTCTTTTTGTTCTTGCAGAGACTTTTCTTTCAACAGCTGAAAGATGATTCAGGACCTGTTTTGATGGCTTTTGTGTAATTTTGATGTATTTATGGGTGTCACTATCTATTTTATAAGTAGCTCCCAAAGTCAAGCTTATGGCTTCCTCTTCTTTTTTGTAATTGAAACTGGCAGTTGCTTATTTTATTACTAGGCACAAAGCCCATTGCAAAGTGAAGGAAACAGGCCCTAGGAAGACCCTGGGGCGAGGGTCCGGCGGCTGGGGACGCACCTGGCAGGCCAGGGAAGCGCGGCGTTGCTCTCCCCCCGAAGAAGGGCCCGTGGCCTGGCTGGGCAAGGTGGCCCAGGGAAGCATGGTGTGGCTGTTTTGCCGCCTCCCCGAGCGCAGTTGGGGCAAGGCGGGGGGGCAGAGCGGGGAAGGCCGGCGGAGGCCAACTCCCCCCAAGAAGGGCTTGCAGCCTCTTGGGCCAGGCTGTGGCGGGCGAGGTAAGCACGATGCTGCCGGTCTCCCCCTTCCCCGTGGTGAGTCAGGGCACGACAGAGGGGGAACCCCAGGGAAGGCCAAACGCCCCCCCCCGGAAGAAGGGCCAGAGGGGTCCATGGGCCAGGCCATGGCGGCCCAGGGAAGCGCGCCACGGCCCTCCCCTCCCATCTGTGACTGTAGTCGGGGCATAGTGGTAGGCCAGCAAGGCTGGTCACCCACCTCCTCCCCCCTCACCAGCATCCAGGCACCGCAGTGTCCTTCCGGTCCAGCGGCTTCGTGGATACTGAGGGTGAGCAGCTGGCCTGCAGCTATGTGGGTGGGAGTGAGCCAAGCAGCCAGGCAAGTTAGCCAGTGGCCCGGGACATGAGTGTGAGTGGCAGGTCAGCTGGCGAACTGATTTTGCCGCACATGAATCCTACCACTCCCCAGGCCAGAAGCCACCCCAACTGGCTTTTATATATAAAGAGAGATTATTTCCTTGTTAAATTCCTTTCAATTTGTAATCATCTATGGAGCCTTCGTAGCTGAAGGCTACAGTTTTTTAAAAAAGTTTAGATAGATTTTCCCTGCCTTTGCAAAGAACTCCACAAACAAACCAGTTAAATATCTGAGTAGAAATCTGCATTTTAATTTAAAGAAAAGCTAAATACAACATCTAGTCACAAGGACAGGTGATGCTGGCAGAATGAACAACTGATACACATCTAAGCATTGATCAGAAATTAAATTACTGGCTTTTCAAGAGAGTTCAGCCAAAGAAAACAAAAATAAAGACCTTACCTTGAGCAAGCCTTGCACAAAAAGTCCTGACTCATACTTGAAGGAAGTTTCACTTCTACAGAGCCTGGAACACTTTCGCTCTGCTGATGTAAGAAAGAGGCACAGAGTCCGCACGATCTGCAACACAGAAACACTGCAAAAGCCATAGGCAGGATAACTGAGCAAAGACAAACTCTGGTTATATTGACAATTGCTATACTGCACAATGAGCAGGCAGGTGTTACTTGGCTATTACAAGCCAGCCAGATGTTTTTTCCTAGCTACAAATTCAGCTGTGTGAATTTTCGCAGCATACAAACTGCATATTTTCCATAAAGAAAATACTTTTCTCTCCCCTAGGAATGCACTGACTGCTATCTGTACAGATGCTCTGTGTAACTATTGGTTCATGAACTATGGAGTTAAAAACTACAGCCTGACCCAACACCACTTTGAGACTTCAAAATTCAGTTGTAAGAAGCTGAATGCTCTCCATTCTAACACTGTGAGAGGAACAAACAGACAGTTTAACATTAATATAATATAATTTTTCTTTCTAAGCTAGGTTTGTTCCATTATTAGTTGGGGGGGGGGGGGTTATTCACTTAAACAAAAACACAGTGAATCAGGCAACACTCCCCCCAACAACTAAAGTATTCCTCCCTCCCCAGTACAGAAATGAGATATTGAACCTTTAGCAGCAGATATAGGCATACCAGTGGCACAAATTGTTACCAATAAAATAATTTTACTATGGCGGATAGTAAATATGAGAGCAACCCCACACAAGTCTACTCAGTATCCTAGTGAAGTCCCCTCTGTGGAGCTTACTCCCAGAAAAGCATTCTCAAGATTGCACTGTATTTTTAATGACGCATTAGTGTACATTTTTATTACAGTATATACATTTTCAGTAAGACAATAAACATGCTGGATTGTGACTGAACAGCAGTGCTGCAAACATAGCTTGAAAAACGCGACTAGATATAAGCATTTAGACTGAGTTATTTTTCCATATCTATACTTTCATTATAACACTAAGTTGAGTTACTCCATTTTTAATTTTATATAGCATTAAACAAAGACTCCAAGATTGGGCTAAGCACAACAATATTCCAAAACCATATCAGTAGCAAAACTTACAGCAGCTGGGAAAGGGGAACCCCAAATTCCAGCCTATTTATCTATAAATAAAAGGGCTAAATTCCATTTCTATGACAGTAGGTGTGACAGGTTGCAAAGAAAACCAGGCTTTTTAAAATGCTGCTTGTGTCAGAGAGTCAGGGAGTTCAAGAGTTAATCTTCCCTGGAGAGAACAGCTTAAGTGATTGGCTGCTCTACTCGCTCTCTGATTGGCCAGCATCAGCTTAGAGAGGAAATAAAACAGCTGATCTGGAGGGAAAAGATTCATTTGCCTTTTGAGACACTTTTGGTCTTGGTCTGAAATCTAATGTCTGGATCAGTAGCCAAAGGGTTTGGCTTCTGAGGAAAGAGACTTTGGGAGTCAGGGACTTGTCTGAAATGTACTTCTACAGAGCGAATAAGTACCCCATTGTCTTAAATATATTAGAACTACTCTGAGGGAGAATTTAAATTCACAGTCAAGAAAGCTACAGAACTGCTTTATACAGACAATGGATACTGGAGAAGGATTTGGCAGAAGGTCTGGGTAGTTAGAGAGAACTCCCATACAAGTCAAATAGTAAAAGTGTTATTGCTTCTCAGGGACAAGGAGAATAACTTCCTGTCAGTGAAAGGGTTTGTGATAAAGGGGAGAAGCTTCGAAACCTCAGGAGTTAGTGAAAAACTGTAATATCTAAAGGGAAAACCTGGATCTTTGAAGGGAGAAACCTAGAAGTACTAAGACAAAGCTATTCTCTAAGAAACTGTATTCAAGATTCTGTGTAACATCTGAAATATATGATAAGCAAAAACCTCTATACCTTGAATCCTCATATTTATATATTCCCTACATAATAAAAACTTTATTCTGTTTTTGAAAGTTAATCTGTCTCAGGTGCCATTTTATAAGGGTTTATAAAGCAGGACAGCTCCTGTATTTCCCTCAAGTTCCTGTACTGGGTCTAGAACCTAAACAAGTATCTGTGACCGGGTGGGACAATTTAAGCTTATCAAACAAAAAAGATATACATGCTACTGGAGGGTGATTCAGTCACAGAGGGGAACTAAAATATTTTTGGTGAGAAAATTCTGGCTGGGTGTTGGGAAAGAGACAGAGGTCTGTCATAATTGATCTCTGTAATAATGTGTTAGTCTCTGTAATAATCAGGAATATTATTTTAATAATGCATAGAAAAAACACTTACCTTATTAACTTTTTCTGCACTGCTTCCTACAACTACTGAGCAACCACAGGTCTGCAGGTGTGAACTGATGGCTCTGAAAATTAAACATAATACAGTGATATTGAAGTCTGCAGAGGAATTTCATGTGCTGGAACTCAAGAAAGCACAGATGCTAAGGAGTCCCCTTTTTATTAGGTTTTCCAAGTTTCATAGGTAGCCAGTATTAAAAGTCACAAGCTGCTCCAATTACAATTTGTGAATGAATACAGCTTGTTGCCATGCTCATCTACCTGCCTGCATTGAAGGTCTCTGGTTTGAGATCAGTACCTCGTGATGGCCATCTGGGTGAACCAAAAGTTTGTTTATATGCCACAAACTAGGGTTCTGGATTACAGTTTAAATTCTGGCTTGTGGGAAGTAAGCAATCTCCAGTTTATTCACTTGTCACATGGGAATCAGAATTTGTTTCAGATCAGGAATCCTCTGCACAAGAAGAGGGAGAGGGGCACATGTACATGGGTACAGCACCAACAAATGTTCATGCACAAACTGGGATCACTGTAATACCTTAATGCAGCCTCAGAGTCAACTGTATGATCATTTCATCCAACCATCTGAAGTTAAATTACCACACACCTTAATCTGTGATGTTAGGCTAAAAAAAAAAAAATCTATTCTAATTAGCCAAACTGAAATTACATCCATGCACAAAAACTGTAACCCCCAAGACAAAACTACAGCTACACTTTGCCCCACACAATCACACCAGCATTCTTTAACAGCAATCAATAAGGTCAGCAAAGAAGAATGGAGCCACATAGATTGCTGGTTAATGATCACAAAATGGATTGTACCAGATTTTATGGCACGACCTGGAATTGTAACAGTAAAGAAAACTGATCGTACTTCAGGAGAAAACCTTCATGACAGCTATCTCCAATATCATCATCACTGAGCACTGTGTCACATATCTAGAATGCAATGAAACAAGGGAAGGGAAATTAGCCAAATATGAACATATGTTAAATGGTTAGGATTCAATAAACCTTAAGCATACTGTGGCATAAATATTTCCAAGAATTGTGCAAGACAAGGAAATATTCAAAGTCATACCCTTATCTTTTAGAGATGATATATCCATGGTTCAGACTCAGAATCACAGACGCCCTCCTTTGTCTTTCCTATAGAATTTCCCCACCAGCTTTAACCATGGTTAATGTTAATCACAGTTAGCTTATTTGCCAGGTTTCTGAAACCAGCTTTCAATCCTTCAACTGAGCACACCCTGGATGACATGAACTGTGGCTAACATCAAACAAGAGCTTTAGTTCTGATTAAGGTGGATAAAGAGCACCAGAAAGGGAAGGAGAGCACACTAACCTTGCTGCAGTCCATGGTTATGTCTATACTAGAGTTAAATGTAAACAAAGAAAAATAACCCAAAGGTATACTTTTATCCAGATTCCATACATATATGCACGTCACCATATGTGTTTCGCTGGTGTCTTAACCACCAGAAGAAATTTTTATACCATCTCAAAGATTCTACCTTCAGATTCTCGTAAATTTTAATTGTATCAATATATAATAAGCCACACTTTGACAATTCTCTACATTTTAAGCACTGTATGTTTTGTGATTGAATCAACTGTGATTTAAAAATTATTGCTACTGCTAAGATGTTTCCAAGAGACATGTTGCCATTAGCAAAGTAAAGCCTGCTTAGGGACCTTTTTGCTGCCAAAGAGCCAAAAGGATATCAATTTATGATCCTGTAATAGTTTATTTTACCAAAGGCAGTTAAAAAAGAAAAATAGGAATAGAATGGCAGAACTCCTGACTTTTATGATGCAGCTAACATAAGGACTTACATCTATTTCTTCTGGAACACTGTGTGATTTCATAGATGAAAGGAGTTCCATTACAGGAATAACTTCGCCTGTCAGCATTGGAATGATGCTCTGACCCTGTGCAATAAATAATGTTTTTATGAAATAAAAAGCAGAGCATGCAGTAGAAAAAAAGAGAGTTCCTACTTAATGGCAAGAGCATGAAATGACTGAACCGTTTTTGAAGTCAACAAAAACAAGAGTAATCACGAACTAGCCAAAGATTACCTTTCAGATTCATTCCAAGTTACCAAACTGAAAAATAAGCACATGAACCCAAGAACATAATTTGAAAAATGAATTTCTAAATGTTCAGGCCAAGCTATTAAATAAGCTTCAAAATAGTTCTTATTGTAGTCTTCCTAGTGTCATCTACAGCCTCTTCTTCTACTGGAATAAAGCTCAACAGCTGAGCGCTGGCAGTTCTTTTGTTACTGACTAAATGGTCTGGTAAAAAACTTGGACAGAAGACTGACTATACAACCAGTCTCACGAAACCATCATTTTAAACAAAACTGTTAATTCATCTAAGTAACTTTTGTGTAATGAATAGGAAACAGTAATCAAACTTCTATTTTGCTCCAAAATTGAAGGGTGGGCAATGAGAGCTAATATGCTTATTGTGAACTTTCTCAAAGTTTTCCTTCATACAGTTCTTATGCAATATTTCCACAACACTCCAAAATTCACAGTAGCAACTTCTACAGGTAAGCAAAATTCAACAAGAGAGAAGTACACACAGTCTGACTTCTGCCACAGAAACCCAGGGAATTTATACTCCCGGCCTCAGATGGATTATATTGAGTATTTTACTATATGAATCCAGTAATCCACTCTTACCTGATCTTCCATTCTCTCTGTGCCCTCCACTACTGCCCTCTGTATGTGTTCTTGCCTTTCCTGTGTTAGAAAAAATCAGTATTTTTGAAAAATTAAGGTTCTACTATTTGTCTATGCACAGTTGATAAGCACAACATACCACTTCTGTTTATACTTTACAAAGACCTCAGATACACAAGAGAGCTGCATCAATCAAATCAATTTTATTCCAGATCCTGAGTATATCTACAGGACAGATTATATGGTACCTAAACAAGTGGACATCAACCAATCAGAGTTCAAATTCTCACTCATAGAACTCACATGGCAACTTGGGCCAACTCATTTCTCTTTGCCTAGTTGGTCCCATACAGTTAAGTGAGACAACTCTATGTAAGGCAGCTTGTATGAAAGAAGGTACATAAATCAAATCCCAAATTACTTGAAAGACTTAATCCCATGCAACTATGTTTCAGATACGTCCTTCAGTTAAAAAGCTATACTGTTCCATTAGGCGCTATATGAGAACATCGTATTAAAAATTAGAAATGAACCTTGCACATTTAGAAGTGTTAATAGTTCTAAAAAGTGCTCATGATAGATACAATAAGGCCTGATTTTCACAGAAAACAGAATGAGTGGGTAGAATGGACTTAAGCTGGAAGGTAGGGATGTAATTTTGGATAACTCTTTCCATGTATAAGAACGTCCTGCAAAAATTATACAATAAGGGAGAAAAATAAGTCCCGCCCACTCCATAAAAAGACATTCCTTTTTCCTTGTAGAAACTTTTTATGCAATAGAACATGCAGCTCAGGGGTCCCTCAGCAAAACCATGAGGGATGTATTGGAGGTCTGTGGTAGGACTGGTGGGCAGTCTTCAAAAATTATACCTCTCCCTTAAATTAGAAGAAATTTGCTGTGGGATTAAAAACCATGGTCTGATTCTATGGCATACTGTATCAATAAAAAGGGTATACAAAGTTGTTGAAATGGTACAGCCATCTGTACATACCCCAGAACATGACATGGCACTCTTCTTTAAAGAAGTTACATGAAAACGAAGGTGCAAGCCATCACGCTGTGTCACTGTTATCACTTTTTAGTACTAGAACTGGTCCTTTTAGAAGTCCCAACAGTACCACTGAGACAGAATTACTCTCTTTCCATTTGAAGTTTTGACAAACTGACTAAATGTGCCAATGTTTCACCTTCTGCTTGAGAACAAATCCGTAAGTCCATTTTTAATTACTGTTAAGCAGTTGTTTATCTATATCTGCCTTTCCAAACATTGTGAGAAACGTTGACGTCTCGGTAAACATGCCCATCCATTCAATTTTTAAGGGTTGCTTTCCTTACTCTAGCACAATCTACTAGATGCATGCCAGAACAGCAAAAGTAACACCTCTGAACACACAAGAAGTACAGATATTTTCAACTCTTTTTGATCAGGCATGTCTTCAGCAGAAAGACTTGCCAGTTTTGTGAACAAAAATGTATAGGTTTCTAAGCAAAAGCTTAAAACAAATGCCATTATGTTCCATCAAGGTAGGCTGGTTAATGGAATTTATTCTAAAGGAGCTTCTGAAGGATAACCCACATTTAGACCATGAGTGGCTACGATATGGGTTCCTCCAAATACAATATCATTCAATTCCCAGTAAACATGAACAAAATGACTACTTCACACAGTGGCATACTCCTAAAAAACATTCGGAATATTGCCAATACTGGGCTTCCTCTCAGCATGGATGAGCGTGCCAGGACTATAAAGTTAGGGGCACAACGCGGGGCACTTGAATCTACTTCTGATTGCTGTCTATGGGAAGGTATCAGATGTGTTTAACAGGCCAACGAGAGATCAGGAAGCTAATTTATTTATCTATGATATTTCTGTGCCTTCCCTTCAAAGTCCTACTCAAAGCAGCTTACAATTAAAATGACATAACATAAAAACAAGCAATTGGACGTAAACAGGATAAAGACTATCCATAAAACAGAAGAGGACCATAAAAAAATAAACCTGCTAAAATAAAACCCCTAATTAAAAGACTGGATAAAAATACGTGATTTGGCCTGGCACACCAATGGAAGTTATGATGCCAGCGGAGCCTCAAGAGGGAGGGCATTCCAGAGGCAAGGTGCCACCATAGGAAAAGACCGGTCTCTAGTCACCATCTGCCTCACCTCGGAATGCAGGGGCACAGAGAGAAGGAATCCAGAGGCAGATCTTGACTGCCGGGCTAGATTATATGGAAGAAGACAGTTCTTCAAGTACCATGGCCTCAAGCTAGTTAAGGACTTGAAAGTTAAAACCAGCACATCAAACTGAGTCCGGAAACAAGAAGTGAAGTTTGTGAAAAAGAATTTTAAATGGTCCCAATTTTGGAACCTAACAAATGTTGTAACCCTTGAAAACCCTTGCTTTGAAAATCCCTACTTTGTTTGAACCCATGAGTCCCTTGCACCAAACTTTTCTCATTATGTTTATGCACTTTTATAACATTGTTTTATGCAAAATTGATGCAAAACAGTAGGAACACCAGGAACAAAGGGGTGAAATGAATAGACTCATAACGACAACATGAGCAAAAACAAACAAAAAGGGGCATATTTCTTCCCCCTTCACTGCAATAAAGAAGCAACCTACCTTATGCATCCATATCCTTCCTTTTCTTATAATGTGTGTCAGCCTGTCAACACACACTCTGTGCAGGGGAAGGTAGAAGCTAAGCTCACTTTGCGGAAGTATAATCGAAAGTCCATAGGTACTTCTGTCCCCGTTCCAGTTTCCGTCAAAAATTAAGGACACAATAATTACTCCTTTCTCGGCCAAAACAAAAAATTTCACATCTATTGCACCGCTCTCTGCATTCCGAAGTATTTCCCCGTTCAGAGTGTGGTTTGCAAGAAATGTTATTTCTCCATCACTGAGAAACTGCTGCTCTGCTTTTGGCGCCCAGATGTGTCTGACCCTGGGACCAAGAATGTTATCCCAGTAGGCAAAAGTAGCAGCCAGTAGTGGTGACTCTCCATTCAATGCGATCTCAGTTTTGGCAACAGCAGGAGACGGAGGAGGACACAGAGCAGACATGATGACCCCAGCTGTCACATTGTCAAAGCCTTTTTCTTAAAACCTAGAAAGTCAGTTTGAAAAGTATAGATAAGGTTTACGTATAAGTCTGAAATGTATACATAAGGATTACATATAACATCAGTCACAGGGACACTGGATTGCCTCAAAGGTCTGTAAAATTTTGAAATGTATTCAGTACAAGTGAAGTTGTTCTGCAGACTCCCATGGAGCTCAGTGAAATATCAGAGTGGAAAGATAAATAAGGCTGGGATCCCAATTAGATTTTATCTAGAAGAAAGCCTAAATATATGTGCAGTATTTGGGTTATATGGCAGCACAGACTTTAAAAACTGACACTCCAGCCAAAGAACACGTACTGCTGCAGGATTCACATTTTTCCGTGGGTAGCTTGGATAGCACTGAAATACAGTAGTCCCAAGCAACCAAATAGAACAAATGTTTTTGAAGATGGTTCCAGGATTAATTGTCACTGCTTAGGTACATCACTGTTGAAGTATACAGCAAAGCTAGATCTTATCTTAACAGCAAGTAGTCCATATTTACACGCTTTATGGCTTCCAAGTCTTCTACATTCTACCCAATTTAGGTGCTTATTAACCATATCAGGAAAATCAGGTTAAAATAAGTTGCACTGTAACTACGCACACAGACACTTAGAGGCACAGAGAATTGCTGATACTACACAGGAACAATTACAAAGACCTTCCAAAAAATCAGCACAATACAATGTGATTCGTATGAAATATTTTGTGTATTCTTGTAAAGTTCAATTTAGGTGCAGACAAAACTGACCACTAGCATACTTCAGTTTGGATTCAAATTACAAGAAAGAAATAATTCCCCCAATCCCATCCACATAGCTCCCTATGCCTCCTGAAAAGCTTCTCCTCAACATCAGAAGACGTTCAAAAATAGTACAGTATATGACACTGCAGGTTACAATGGGGGACACAGGAGAATCTGTGGAACTGCCCCCCCCCGCATGAATGCAAGAATTTGCACAATAATGAGATTTCCACAGATTCAACCTTCTTTTTGCAGCTCTCAATGCACACCTTGAAACAGAAGATTCTTTCTGATATCTACATTCCATTCAGAGTCTTTTTGGATCCACAACTGGGTTGTTTTACATCACATACAAGTTGGTAGTATCAATATATCTAATTCTCAGCATGGCCCCCATCTGCAGATACTTAAAATCCACGGACTGGGGGCAGTGTAGAGACACAAAGTTTCTGCCTGCTGACCTGGGGAAAACCTAAGGTTCGCAGAAAAATCTGAAAGCTTAACAAAAAAAGAAAGAGTGGGTTAAATCCTCCCCAAACAGGAAACAATGTACCATGAGCATGGAGGAGAAAAGGACGAGCCTGGTGGCAATGCCCTGCTGCAGTTGTCGGGGACAGCTCAGGCCCTGCTTCCTCTCCTCAGTGAATGAAGGGCAGGCGAGGCAGGAGGACCAGGAATCCCCCACAGCCACTGCACAAGGAGAGGGAGGCAACCTTAGAGAAGTCTGGAGGGAGGTAAGTTCGGAAGGCCGGCAGCATCATGGCCTGGCAAGATACTCGGCAGGGTGAACAGATAAACAAGGGAGGGCAGAGGGGGAAGCGAAAAGGGGCTCAGAAGAGTAAGGAAGCTGGCACAGCCATCAGTTGTGGGGAAGGCAGAAGATGGCAGGGAAGGAAAGGTGTAAAAATAAAGAGGCAGTGACAGAGGAACAATGGGGAGAAAGACAGAAGTAGCAAGGAACCATTGGGGTGAGATCCCCTCTCCTGTGTGAGTCCCCACACCTAACAATCTATTGGATAAGCTCAACTTATTACTTTTCCTTACTTAAAAAAAACAAACCCAAAAAACAGAATAAGGATCTTGTAGTCCTATGATACTGAGACAAACCATTTAGTACTTCCTCTTGAACATGAATAAGTGGATGACACACCATTTACATTATTCCTCTACTAAAAAACCAGCTGCATTGGCATCAGGTCAATTAACACGAGTTCTAACAGAAAAGAAAATATCTGGTATCTCAAAGTAACCTCATTTCCAGCTTAGAACTGTATACACCAACAAGTGTACAGAACACTGCTCATATCTTTCTTTATCTACCTTTTTGCCAGTCCCTTCACAACTCCCTTTAAAGTTCTCTTCACTCACTTCTGCTTCTGTCCTGTGTAAAAGCAAAGTATTTCCATTCTGTTGCAAGCAGCAGAAGAAATCAGTTGCAGGTCAATTTCACAATGAAATGGAAGTCCCATGTATGCAACATACTGCAACCAGCCCAACACTGATTTTGACCTCTTGATCATGTATATGCACACAACCCTAGTACTGCATTCCTTAACATTTCAAATTGAGAAGGGAGTTCCATGATTTCAACTAATTTCCATTTAGTGAGACTGGCAATATGAGGATATGAAATGATATGAAACTGAAGAGGCCCACCTCCCTCTCATACAAACTGATTACTAACAGGGGCCACACAGTGCCTAGAGAGTGACCTACAAACATGGGGGGTGGATTCAAGATTCTAGGCAGCCCCTTCTTCCTACTTGCAATAGTTCCTGACAGCAGATGAAGCATGCTGACAGCATAGTGCTCATCCTACCTTGAGCATAAAATCTCAGAGTCTTAGTTTCCCCGACAGGCCTTTCAAAAAGTGGCACACAGCACATAGGGATCAAGCCTAAAAATAACAGGTTGGCTGATAGCCATCAGGCACCAGGGCCTCATTGAAGATATGCCTGAGATTTGTTTCAGGGGAGCAGCAACAGGTTAAACTCCACTAGCCCCTTAAAGACCAGCAAGATTCCAGATCAAGCCTAAAAATAACAGGTTGGCTGATAGCCATCAGGCACCAGGGCCTCATTGAAGATATGCCTGAGATTTGTTTCAGGGGAGCAGCTGTGCTGTTCTACAGGTTAAACTCCAGTAGCCCCTTAAAGACCAACAAGATTCCAAGGATATAAGCTTTCGAGAGTCAAAGCTCCCTTCATCAGATATGAAGGGGTATCTGACTAAGGAAGCTTTGATTCTTGAAAGCCTTGATCCTGGAAATCTTGTTGGTCTAAGATGCTCCTCGAATCTTGCCCCAGATATACAGATCTTATGCATATGTCATAAATCAACCCATATTAAATTGCCTGGTCTACAGTACTGTTCTTACATTTTTAGATTGTTTTACTTGTCATGAGCCTCTTTGCTACTTCAGATCCTCTACCTCTGCCAAGCCTTCCTTTGAGCTGTCCATTCACTCACAGCTCCAACACTGCAGACTGTCCTCCCAATGAGGCATTTAGAGCCTTGTGCCATCCACATTCTGCAAGGCCTTTTTTAAAGTTGGTTATTTTACAGTCAATCCTAAAAGAAATCAACCCTGACTGTTCCCTGGAAGGCCAGATACTGAAACTGAAGCTCAAATACTTTGGCCACCAAATGCGAAGGGAGCACTCACTGGAGAAGACCCTGGTGCTGGGAAAGACTGAAGGTCAAAGAAGAAGGCGACAGCAAAGGATGAGATGGTTGGACAGTGTTATCGAAGCACAAACATGAAATTAAGCAAACTCTGGAGGACAGTGGAAGACAGGAGGGCCTGGCGTGATGTGGTCCATGGGGTCGCAAAGAGTCGAACTCGACTGCGACTGAACAATAACAACAACAACAACAAATTTTTAGTTAATTTCATACAGAGGGTATTATTTTGAGAAAAGTGGTAGAGCTATGACAGCCCCATCCACTTCCCGCCCTCAGAGGCAAGATTTTCCCTCCGTTTGTTCTTTCCGTTTTGTGACTGAGCAACCCTAGTTGTCTGTTTTCTTCTTTCTTCAAGAAATCAGGCTCTCCCACCCTGTCACAGTATACTGTTTTGGCTGTCTTTTCAGCCCAGGAACCTGAGGGAAGGAATAGGAGTCCCCTTTAACTTATACAACTTAAATGGCACTTGAGAAGTTTTTATATTCCAAATTAACAAAATATTTTATTCAATATAGAGGGGAAAGGTCAGGTGAAATCAAGGATAAAATTCCCGGAAGTAACTCAATATAGATAACTCTGAGGTAAAATCAGTACATGCACAGACTTTAGTTCTTATATTTCAGGCTAATGAGAGTTTCTTAAACTATTCACAGTTACTTAAACTTTTTATGTTGAGAGCCTTTTGTTCCAGTGTTTCCCAAACACTACAGTACACCTGTGCTTTGCTGGTACACTCTTTTTCTTTCCAATATCCAAACCCCTTCTCTTCAAACGTCAGTACTTCTCCTGATTTTTTAGCTGACTCATCAGGGTTTTACAGGCAGTTTCTAACCACACCAGACCAGGGATATCGGCACTCTTCAGAGCTAACTCCCTATTTGACTGGGCAGGGAATTTTCTTCTATTTCTAGATCTTTCCTTGGCCCAAGTAGGAATCTCTATCTAACTACCCACTCATCCTTGTCCACTTTCCCCAGTTCTCCTGTCTATGTTAAACTGCTCTCAGTCAGGGTTGAATTTCAAAATTGTCAGTACTCGATTCTTCTCAGCTAGGGCTGAAATCAGACTCAACTCAGTCAAGACAGAAATGTAACTGAATCCCTCCTCAGCATGCAGCTCTCTCAAGACTTTCTCTGCTCACCTAATGCTAACCAATCAGATTTCTTGGAACAGCTTGTCATTCTAGGCTCTCTGGCTCTGTGAAGAATTAACCCTTCACAGTCCTTTAGCTGTTTGTACAGCACTTCTAAGATGTATCTTACAAAAAGAAGAAAAATTATTTGTTGCCAGCAGTCCAGTTTTCTTTGTAAGCTGTCTTCAGCAGCAGTAAATGTTTTACTAAATAAATTGGATGGGGCACAATAATAAAGGAATACTAATGAATTAAAAGTTAAGACTGTCTAGTTTGACTTTCTTTCTGTCTGCTGACTGACTGTTTAACAATCTTCCTCCTGGCCTTGATATATTTTTACCACTATTTTATCTCTTAAGGTTTTATTGTTTCATTGAACTGTTAAGTTGCTTCAGAAATATTTTGTTGAACTTCAGTGCATGAGTGAATGGCACATTTCCAGTAACACACATCTGGTGTTTATCTCTGAAAGACAACTCCTGGATACGTACGCTTTGGGAATTCTTCTGTTATCTGTGAATACAATAGGGAAGACTACACAAGCCAGCAGACAGAGATGGGGCAAATACACATCTAAAGCGGCACTATGCTTTCATGAGGCCTAATACAGAAAGACAGATAATCCTTACTTTCTTCTGAAGTATCACTATGACACACAGCCACACATAAATTAAAGACATAAATAGTTATTTCCTCTTTTAAGGGAACACTGGGCATCACAGCCATATGATTCAGAACTCTAAATGAAACATTTCTTTTAGAGTTCCTGTGATTCTCTGGAGGAAGCACTGGCACTAAAAGTGGTATAAAAATGCTCATAACAATATAGATATGGTTATGGGGTTTACACAAATATCCAAGCAGGGAGAAAGCAATGGCAGATTTTGGTGAGTAGCAGCTACATTTTACTGCAAGTGTCCTAGAGGAGGAAAAAACAAGCAAGCAGCATTATGAAAAAGACACTTTACTGGTATAAGATTTTTTTAAAAAAACAAAAAAACAAAATTCACCTACACAGATATTCTGTCAGCTTTCTGAGATGCATTTTTCTTGTTTCAAGACTGTTTCCCCCTGGCTGCCTCACACTGAGAAATCTTTCATTATTCATGTTTAAACACAAGGGCTGAGAGGCAGCATTTCTTGAGTACTGCAGCTTTGCATGCCCTTTGCCCCATGTTCAACGGTCATGTGATCTTTCAGTAATAAGACTGGAAATGCCCTCAGTCAGCTAGCAATTCCAGACAGCTCTGGTCACTAGAACTACACTGCTAGCATGGGTCCAAGCCAGTTTAAGGCAAGCACACTGGTTATCATTAAACAATTCTAAAGCACTGTGCAAAGTGCTTCTTGGCATTGCCCTTCTTTGGGATTGGAATGTATACTGACCTTTTCCAATCCTGTGGCCACTGTTGCATTTTCCAAATTTGCTGGCAAATGGAGTGCAGCACTTTAACAGCATAATCTTCTAAGACTTTGAATAGCTCCTTCATAGCTACATTTTAATATATATATACACATATGTGTGTTTTTAACATTTTAATGACACTGTGTTTTTAAAATGCTGCCAGCTGCTTTAAAAATCATCACCAAAGTGCAGAAAACAAGCACAAACAAGCACTACTGCCTGAGCAAAGTGAAGCATTTGGTTCAATAGCTTAGTACTGTTTGCCTGTAATACAATACTTCTTTGCCCTGAAATTTGCACTTTCAGGGCATAACGTAAGGTGCCAAGTTCAAACAGCAACGTTCATTCCAAATGAGGGTAGGCTGGGGAAAGAGGAATCTATAGAACACAACGCAACCTCTCTCTCCCTCTTGAACACAGAGGCATGAAGGTGAGAGTCAGTACCAATGTTCCCTCTAAGCTGTGGAGTCTTGTGAGCAAGAATTCTACCTTGTGAGCTACTGGCATTAAGGTGGTGAGCAAGCACTTTAGCTACTGCATAAGTTACTTTGCTCTGGAGCCATCCTTCCTGAGCTGAGACAAAAATGTGTGAGCCAGAGGCTAAAAAACTGAGCTAGCTCACACTAACTCACCTTAGAGGGAACACTGGTCAGTACATGCGTTTAGGATCTCAATCAGTGTTTGCCGCTTGAACTCCAATTCAAGTCCCCTTTTCAAACGGGCCACAGAGACGTAACATACACACACACACACACAGCAATTCTTTCCTTCAAACACTTAAAGAAAATTTGATAGGCACCCTTGGGAGAGTCCACATTGCAAGAACAACAGGATTCGTTCCCAAGAAAAAAAAGAGGAAGGGAGAAAATGGCAAAACATCTCACAACGCGACTCGAGCCTTAAACCCAAAGGCAGCATTACAGAGTTGCTGGTGAACTGCTTGGACAAGGGCTGGGAACTTAGCGAGGCCTCTCAACCCTGAATCTAACTTGTCATCCAGCATCCCGGACCACAGCTGCCTCCCAAAGGGAAGCTCAAGAGAACCATCCCACCTCTCCTCGCCGGGTCCTTTAGGGTGGGCGCCCCCCGGAAACGAGGATCCCGCGGCGGCCACTGCAGCAGTCCACATCGGTCAACAAAACACCCAAGGAAGGCACCCCCGCCCGCCGCCGCCCGCCCCTTCCCACGCTGCAGCCGTCCTCCAGTCTCACTTGCGCGCGCAGCCGCTCTCACCCACCGGTTAACGCACTCGTCTCCGGCCCTCTCGAAACCCTCGGCACTCGCTCTTGCCATTGCGCCTGCGCGATTCTCGAGCGCTTGCGTCTCGGGAGACAATGCGCGTGCGCCTTTTGGAGACAATGAAGACGCTAAAAATGACACCCGTGCTTTTCTCAAGGGAAGTGAGAGCGCCCTAGAATCTGCCCTTAGAAGTTCAACGCCGCCACCCCGGGGCCCAGGGAGCCGGGGGAACGTTTCGCACCCTGCCCAGCCGCCATTGCCACAGGTGCCAACGCGGCGGCGGCCGTATCTTTTCAAAGAGCCCCTAAAGAGACCTGGTGGAGCCAAAACGACCTCTCGCGTATCATACGCGAGAGGTGGAATTTGCCCCTAGAAGTTCAACGCCGCCACCCCGGGGCTCAGGGAGCCCGGGGAACATTTCGCCCCCCTCGGGACACATGTCTCCCCCGCCCCCCCCCCGCTCCGCGCGGGGCCATTGCAGCTGCCGCCAGCGGCGGCGGCGGCCATGACTTTCTAAAGAGTCCCTAGTAAACGGGAGCCTCCGTCTCTGCATGTTTTAAATAAGTCCCGTCCCCCATTTATTTTCGTCACCCTTTCCCGCACATGGAGGATTCAAAGGTAGGTAATAGGGGGCCGGAAGTCGTCTAAGAAAACTCACGAGACTGTTTCCCTCTCGCCTGATGGAAACACTCCGCCTTTTGGATGTGCGCACGCGCTGCCTTTTATTGCTAGTCGGTGGTGGAAACTGCACTCGTTTGTTGCTTGGGTGTTTGCAAGCGATACGTGGCTAAATAAACTTTTTAGTAGAGTTTTAAAGTTATGGGAATGTGCCTCCTTTCTCAAGCTTAAAGGGGGAGGGGGGATCTGGGCTGGTTTACTAAAGGTAGCCCTGGTGTTTTGGGGACTATTTTAAGGATGAAGAATAGTAACGCAACACCGCGTAGCTAGCTACTTGAAACTGGGCCAAGTCCAACACATTCTCTGTAGTTCCATCTTTATGCATGTTTATATTTGTTAGTAAGCCCCATGTATTTCAACGGCCTTACTCCCAACAGTAAATGTTTTAAGATCGTCGGGGGGAGGGCGGGGGCGGCGCAATTTGGCTGTTGCAGAGTTGAAAAATGAAATATTCCATGACTTTTAGTATTGTGACTGTTTATATTTTTATTGAATTATTGTATACATAGTTTATTTTAGGTACGTTTAATATTGAAATGTTATGTTTGCTGCATCGGTGGCCCTGTTGAGTGGAAAGATGGCCTAGAAATGTTTTAAATAAATATTCCAATTTACAGATTACCAGAGCCACAAAACGTTGCTTTAAAAATTACAACATTCATCAATACCTTCAGTTTGATTCAGCCACTCTGGAAATAAAATGGCGGTATACTTTCTGGTGCGATTCTGTCCATCTAAAGCATATAACTAGTGACTTTAGTTTCAGCCCTCCGGGTCTGGGTAAAAGTCGGATCTAA